AGACTCTGAGGGACAACTCTCCTTCCCAGCCCCCAAGGGGGAGAAGGGAGAGCAGATCTCAGTCTCTTCTGAAACCAAATTCCACAGTGCTAGGATAAGGCGATTCCCCCCAAGCAAGAAGCCTCGACCTCACTTTTCTCCACATTCTCCCCCAAAGGACTCCTTGGGATCAAGGCAGGGGCCACCTCCCCTTAGCTGTGAAGGGACACCTCCAAGGAACTGTGGCTGCCCCACCCCCAGCCCAGCCCACACCACTCAGAGTCCTTGGCAGGAAGATTTTCTAGTAACAGCCCCAGCGGCTCTAGGCAGTGCCTGGGGACAGAGAGTGACCCCCAGATCTCCTAGTCCCAACCCACCTCCTTCTGGAGGTTGCCATCCGCCAGGGAGGGAGTGCCTGGGTGCTGGGACCCACGGGTAGGTGAGCCGGGGAGGGGGACTACATCTCCCAGAAGCCCCCAGGGCAGGGTTCGCTGCTCCAGCTGGCCCAAGGCCGGCCTTGTTCTCTGCGCTAGGGTGGCAGGGTCCCTCGGCTGCTCCTAAGCCCTCCCCCCTGCACTCTGGGGCTGCCAACCTGATTGGGGGTCCAAGGGTAGCCTCCACTGACCCTGGGGGCATCCCCTACCCCTTAAGCAGTCTGGGGGTGCGTGCCAGAGGACAAGAGACAATTAGACCGTGTTCCCCCTCCCCGATTCAAACTGGATCTCCCTCCTCGCGCCCCTACTGGCCTGGCATGACTTTCGCCTTCGCCCCAGCCTACCCCTCACCTCTCGCGGGTCGGGGGTCCTCACGCCAGGCCGGAGCTGGACGCCATGACCAGGTCAGGGTCGGTGGATGGATGGGGGGTCCTCCTGTTCGCCAGTTGGAGGTGCGGAGGGGGCGGGCAGGCGGCGATCTTTTGATCCTGGACGCCTTGATCTCAACACCAGCCCGGCCCAGGAGAGGGTATCCGGGGATCGCTGGGCGCCTGGGTTCCTGTCTCCCAACCGCGGAGCATGGTCGTGGGCGCCGGGCAGCGGCGGGAGAGCGCGCACACCCGCCCGAGCCGGGGCTCAGGGCTGGGGTCTCGGCCCCGAACCTCACGGCTCCGGCTCCTACCCCTGCTCCTCCTCCCTTCCTTCCTTCCTTCCTTCGTCTCCTCCTTTCACCGAGTGCCGTGGGGTCGGCGGGCGCGGGCTGGGGAGGGGGCTGTCTGGGCGCTTATTGTTGGTCGGACGCCGAGGGTCGAGGTCGCAGCCCCCGGGCGGCGCTGCGCCTGGGGACCCAGGCGTGCCTGAGCTGCCGGAGGCTCGCTCGCCCCTCCACTCGTCTCCTCTCCCCAGCCTGAATAAGCATCGGGGCTCTCTGGCTGCCTCCTTCTGCCTTCATACCAGAGCCCGGAGAGGCCCCTGTCAAAATAAGAGCTCCCCCATCTCGCTCGCCTCCTCGCCCAACCCGGCTCCCCCAGCCTCCCAGTGGTCTGACTCGGTAAGGCGCCCGGCCGGCTAGCGGGAGGCAGGTTGGCCCGCGGGCGGGGAGGGGGGCTTCTATCCTCTCCTCCCCATTCCTGAAGACTGGGGAGGAGACGCGCCAAAAACATCCCAGGCTGGGGAGAGGTTTGTCAAACCTACCCTCCTATCTGCGCTGATTGGAAGGAGTGGGAGTTGCCTGGGCGCGGGTGCGCGCGCGCTCACGCCGGTATACACACACACACACACACAAACACACACACACACACACACACACACACACACACACACACCACTGGGTCTCCTCTTCAGTGTACCCACCCACATCCATTATGCACTGAGCATCTCTTTATTCATCTCTCTCCTGGTTAGACCACGAGGTCCTTGAGGACACAGACTGGATTTTTCATCTCAGTCCTCAGCAATGTGTAGTGGATGTTAAGAAAATGTTGGGAGGACCGGCAGGTGGCCTAGTGGTTGGGGCAGCTGGACACTCCCACATGGCTTGACCATGGTTCAAGTCCCAGACCTGGTGGCTTGTTTTCTCACTTTCCTCTTTCTCACTCTTTCTCTGTGTCTCTTTCTGGTCAAATTAAAATAAATGAATTAATTTAAAAAATGGAATAAAATAATTATTTTTTTTAAAAAAAAGAAAGGAAATGTTGGTAGAAGTGAAACCTTTGTCTTTTCTCTCCCAACCTCAAAGTGCTTCTCTCTTTCTCTCTCCCTCTCTCTGACACACACACAGCCCTACTGGACAGTAAATGCAATGAGAAATAAATTCTAAAGCACATTTTAAAAGCATTTTCACACACACACACACACAAAAGCATTTCACATATTATTACATTATAAACTGGCAAGAAAGATGATTTGACCCCTTATACAGGTGAGGAAACTGAGGCTTGTACTAGCTAAGGACATTCGGGGTTGCATGGTTAGACAATGATAAGCCTAGGGCTAGACTCGAGTCTCCTTATCCCAGGGTATTACCCTGTATCTGTTCCCATCTGCTGACCAAGAGATAATAAACAAGTGGTAAGCACTGACTACTTCACAAAGGATGGGGATGGAGCCTACAGGTGGCATGGTGGTTAAGGGCGCTGGACTCCCATGTGGCTGATTGTGGTTCAAGTCCCAGACCTGGTGTCTTGCATTCTCACTTTCCCTCTCTGTCCCTCTCTGGTCAAATTTAAAAATAAGTAAATAAATTAAGTTAAATAAAATTTTTAAAAAAGAAATGGTTTAAAAAATGAAAGAAAGGGGGGACCAGCAGGTGGTGTGGTGGTTAAGGTACTGGGCACTCTCACATGGTCTACGGCAGTTTGAGTCTAGGACCTCGTGGCTTGCTTTCGCACTTTCTCTCTCTCTCTCTCTCTCTCTCTCTCATCTCTCTCTGTATTTCTCCGGTAAAAATTTAAATAAATAAATAATTAAAAATAAAAATAAATTATTCTTTTTTAAAGAAAGAAAGAAAGGACGGGAATTAGGAAGCCTGATATGTTTCTTCTGCCCATTGCTCTGTCCCTCTTCAATGAGGATGAAGGCTGTCCCTTCTGATCACCTGTGATGTCCCTACCACTCAGCTTGGTGTTTACTTACAGGCTTTATTTTAGTTAAGTTGTTTTAGATTTCGTTACAGGCTATGTGTACTTGCTGGAGAGAGAGAAGAGAAAGACAGAGAGAGAAAAGGACAGAGAGTGAGAAAGCACCCTCCATGGTGAACGGCCACACTGCAATCCCTTCTCCATGCTTCTCTGAGGATTATGGGTACCTACGCACGCACACCCGGTGTTTTTCAAGCTGCCAAGACTGAGCAGGTCCAGGATTGGAACTCAGGCATGTGAGATCTAGCCACCTTCACCTCCATACCACCCACTGGCCTCTTACAGGCTTATCTTTCTTCTGTATGTATGTCTGGTTGCCCCCAGAAAACTTCTGAGGCCCAGCCACGCCTCCTAACTTCTATATTTTCTACAACACGCAAGTGCTGGCTGGTGCATGGTAGGACTTCAGAAAACACTGGCTTCGGGACAAGCAGATGGAGTAATGGTTACATCACTGGACTCCCACATAGTCAACCACAGTTCGAGTCCCAGACCAGGTGGTTTAAAACTCATCCAGGTGGTTTAAAACTCACTCCGGGATTGCAGCATGGCCATTCCCCCTGCGGGGTGATTTCCTCTCTCTCTCTCTCTCTCTCTCTCTCTGTCTCTCCAGCGAGTACATGCACCCCCTATAGCAAAAATTTCTCTTAAGAAAAAAAAGAAGAAAACACTGGCTGGCTGGCTGGCTGGCTGGCTGGTGCTAGAAGCTAGACTCCAACTGAGCAAGGTCTGGGGAGGCACAGGTCATGGGAGGACAGAGGCTGCAAGAAGATAACAATGACCCCTGTGTGTGTCTAACACATCACACTTTACAAAGCACTTTCGTGCACATTCTCTCACGATCATACTTTGATCCCATCAGCAAAACCTCCCCCAGTGCCTGCCAGCTCTGCACCAAGCAGAGTGCTGGTTTTGGGGTGAAGTCACAGCCCTGTCCTATTCAACTTTACACCTATTTAAAGGAAAAGAAGACGGAAGCCAGAGAGGCTGAACTCTGGTGTAAAAGATCCAGCACTTAGGACAGTGCGGGACCCATAGAAACAGGGTTTCGCTCTTCTCCTCAGGTCAGGGTCTCCAGGGTAGACTTTGGCTGACAGGGCAGAAGGCCAGTCTCAGGACACTGTTGGAACGATCCGCTCCACGTATTCGAATCTCTCCCATTACATACGTGACAAGCCACATGGGTCTGTTACGGTCCCTTTGGCACCATGCCCAGTACATAGCAGGTCCAGGGAACACCGCAGGGGCAAGTGATGGCTGTGTTCCAAGGGTCTCTTGGATGCGGAGTCTTGTCCCGGAGTGTTCGGCACGTCCTGCGGGGCGGCCATGTGGAGCACTCCCCTGGGTGGGGCTGTGACTCATTGCCCAGCGTAGGTTCCAGGTTGAGATGGAGAGCGCAGCTCGGGGCAGCCACGAGTTCTGGGTGGAACCCTGGAGCGCGAGAGAACGGAGGCAGGCGGCCCCTGCTGGAATCGAGCGGCTCCCTCTACTGGCGAACTTGGGGAGCCACCGTGCGTCCGCGTATCTGTGTGTCACTGTGTCACGAGCAGTGTCACAGGTGTGTCGGCGAGGGTGGGTGTCGGCGTTTGTCAGTGCAAGTGTTGTTGGCATGGGCGTAGGTCTGTGAGGGTGCCTGCTCGCCGCGCAGGGTGTGTGTGCCAGCGCCACGCCGGACCGTTTCTGAAAACGGTGTACGCAGTCACAGCTTGCAATGCAATGTACTTTGGGGCTGGCGAGGCGACGAATATCTGAGATCAGAAGTCTTGGTCCTGAGGTGCCTAGGGAGTAAGGACCTTCCAGCTGGTAGCCCTCATCGAGGGAAGGGATCAGGCCCGGAGAGCGGTTTTTGGCAAGGGAGTAAAACAACTAGAGACCCAAGAAAGAGTTAACTTGGAGCCCCACAGTGACTTCAATCATTGGCTCAGGGCACTGTCATTCAGAATTCCGAGGGCGGGGTTTGCGAGGAGGCAGTTGGGCTGCCCAGCGCCCCTCATTTGCCCCTCGACCCCCACATCATTGCACTGCGGGGCTGCATCTACACTCCAGTCTTGGTGGAGACACCTTCCTGGGCCCTGGAGGAGGAGCGGATGAGGGCGTCCCGGCTCCCCCACTCACTCCAGCTGCCTGGCTTCCTGATAGATGGTGATTATTATATAATAGACTTGCCGGACAGGACCGTGCCAGCGCTTGGAGCGCTTGGAACACTTTGCCCCCTCCTCGAAGCTTGCCCCGGGGCCTGGCACCTGCCGCACAGAGCCTGCTGCCCAGCGATGCCGGCGCCTCCAGCGCTGCCTTGGTCCCAGGGCGGGAGCCCCCAGGGCCACCCTGGGACCATATTGGGACGGGGATGGGGCGGCAGCCAGGCTGAGAGGCAGGCCGGCGCCCCTAAGGTCTCAGGGTCGGCCTGCAGAATGGCTTTACCCACGACTCTCTGAGTGTGGGATCCATCTGGTCCCCTCCAACCTGAACTTGAAACTTGGGAGCCAGTAAAGGTGGCACAGAGGGCGCAGAGGCCAGGGTCGGAAAGGGAAAGGAGTTTGGAAAAGGTGCGGGGACAGGAAACCAGAGACTGGGAGAGGCGGCCGGCAGGGGCAGGGGGAGGGACTCTTATCCTGACAGGGCTCCCGCCTTCCCCGACTGGAGGGTTTGGAAAAACTGAGCAGGCAGCCAAGGCTTGGCTGGAAATCCTGCAGCCCACCCTCCCGGGGACACAAAGCTGGAGAGCGGGGGCAGGGCGGGGGGAGAGAGCACGACCCCGGGGAGGGCAGGGCCTCTTTTGGGGCTGGGGGCCCAGGGGCCAGGTCCCTAGGGAAGGGGTTCCTGGCGCTGTCTCCCTGCAGTCTGCTTCCCCCAGCTCCTTCTCAACCCCTCCTCTCCCCCCCTCCTCCCCTCCCCGGCTCCAGTCTAGCAGATTGCGGGCAGACTTAACTCCTTGCGCGCCAGCCTGGTGGACTGAGTGGTGGTGACGCGGTGAGGGAAAGGAGGAAGGAGGGACTCCGAATCCCACTCCCACCCAGTTTAACACCTTGTGGCCCAGAACACAATCCCGGAACTCTGGCTGGCCGAAGAGCCGAAAGGCTGCCTGGTGCTAGAGAAGCTAGCGCTAAGCCGGGCACCTGGGAGCCGGGAATCCAGTCCGCTCCCCTGCCTAACCTTAATTCCCCTCCCCCCCCCCCTCTCCCCGCCCTCCTCGA